TCAGTGTTCGCTAGCATCGTCATCCCGTGCGGTCGGTTCGTTGCGCTCAGGCCTGCACTTCTTGCCAGACGTGAACCGTCCAAACGGAGGGCACTTTGTTAGTTGGCACTGAAGGCCGCCGGGTACCGGCTAGGAGGCGCGTCCCGTCGTCCTAGCAGTACCGTCCGAAGGGCATTCCTTTATCTTTGCAAAAGAGGCATTAAGCCCAACGTTCTTACGTCCGCCTGTTGCCTTCCCTTTGCCAAAATGCCTCACAGTTTTGCCGTTACATTTCGCAAGCATCAGGGAGATTTTGAAAGAGTCTATCCATCCGACGACCGCCGTAAAAAGTGTGTCATCGCCGCCAACGTAGCTGAAAGCGACTGCACCGAATTGTGGCTAAATCTGCACGAAGACGAAAGGAAGGTAAGAGAGATGTTGGTAAGTATCGACTACATGGTAAGACCGGTGGATGTGCGTCGCATAAGCAAGGGACATCATGAAGCAGACACTCGGCCTAGGCTACTAGCAATAGAATTCCCCTCAGAAGCAGACGCGAAAGAAGTCCTACGACGAAAGCGTCGCTTGAAATTCGACGATGTACGCTTCAAGTCTTACGCAAAAGTGAAGCTGATGCCATCGAGGACGCCTCTCGAACTAGCAATGTGCAGAGAGCAGCTGAGCAGTACGAAGCCAAAACGAAGGAGCAAAAAGGTAGGCAGGCGCGGTAAGACTGCGAAGGCTCCTGAAGCCAGGCTTTCTGACCTTAACTCTGTCTCTGTCGTACTCTTCAACTCGCGTTCCCTTTGGAACAAGCTCAGAGAGTTTCAGTTGCTCTTGTCTACTTCAAAGCCTGACATAGTCTGCGTCACGGAAACTTGGCTATCCGCCGAACGCCCAGATAGCGTTCTTACCGGCGGTGCACCTTACAATGTGTTTCGCTGCGACCGCAAAAGCCACGGCGGCGGATGTGCCATCTTCGTTCACCACCGTCTGACAAGCTTCCCGGTAGTCTGCAGGCAAAAGCCTGCTTCCGAGCTGTCGTGTGTCGATGTCGTATCGCCCTTCTCAACTGAAGCCATCCGCATGATCTGCGTCTACCGTCCTCCAAGCATTACCGCCAGCGACGACGAGAAACTGCAGGACGATATCGCAACGCTGCTGGCAAATGAAGCGCACACCGTTGTCTGCGGGGACCTGAACCTGCCCGATATCGAGTGGGACATAGCACCGGACGACAGCACAAGAAATGTCAACTCATCTTGGAACAGGTTTGCTAGGGACGCCAAGCTCAAGCAATTCGTCTCATTCCCGACAAGAGGTAAGTCCATTCTCGATCTTGTGTTCTGCAATAACACCGAGCTCGTGTCGAGTTTCTCTTCTGCACCTGCAGTCGGAGCGTCCGACCATTCGGTCGTAAAGTTCAGACTTTGCCTAGCAGCGCCTTACGTTACAACAGAACCGTGGAAATGCTTCAAGTCGTGCTGCTTCGAAGAACTCAACGCATATTTCGCTTCGTTGAACTGGTTCGACCTGCTTCGCAAGGCTACCGTGCAGGAAATGTACGACGCATTTCTCGGCACCGTCCACGCAGCCGTCGAGGAATTCGTTTGCGTGAAGCCACCAAAGGGATCCTACGAAGAATTTCCTGCGTACGTACGTAAGGTTAACAACTATAGGATCTCCTTATGGTCCGATTGCGATAAGCCGGAAGTCCTGGAGAAATACCACCAGAGCACAATCAAGTTGCGTCGTTTAATGCTTAAGTTCAGTAGGAACAAAGAGCAGAAAATGCTGCGATCCAAAGGTTCTCGGGACCTCTTCAGGCACATTGCTAGGAACGTAAAGTCAAAGTCGTCATGCGCTACGCTTCTTGACGAATCCGGCGTCCAAATCAGAGCTGACGTCGAAAAAGCGGAGCTATTAGCCGAACACTTTCGAAGCGTCTACACGCCACAGACTGAAGGACCGATCGAACAAATCGCACTGCACCGATGCTGTAAGGCGAAACTCGCTTTCCTTAACTTCGTCGAAGAGGATGTTCAAAAAGCAGCGAGAAAGTGCCCAATGTCGTACACGCTCACTCCGGACGGGATTCCTCCGATTCTACTTCGTGGGTGTAGTAAGTCCCTTTCTCTGCCGCTGGCAATACTTTTCAACAGCTCAATGGTCAAGTCGGTTGTACCGTCTCAATTCAAGCAGTCTTTCATAACTCCCATTCCGAAGCGTCCGCCTGCGGTTGCCAGGAACTTTAGGCCAATATCCATTACATCGATCGTCGCCCGAACAATGGAGCGCCTTGTCCGACTTCGACTGCTTGACTTCCTCGACATGCACAACATTCTGCCGGAATCGCAGTACGGATTCCGGCCGAAACGGTCCGTCCGCGACGCGCTTGTCGGATCCATCGAAGCATGGTCGAAAGCAGTCGATTCGAACGTGCCTGTGGACATCATCTACTTTGACATGACGGCCGCTTTCGACAAGGTTCAGCATGTTCGACTACTGCAGAAGCTCTCATCCTGCGGCATCGACGGCTATCTGCTCCAGTGGGTCAAGTATTTCCTTACTGGCCGAGAGTCCAAAGTTAGGCTGGGCAAGACGTTCTCTAATGCATTCGAACCTACGTCGTCAGTACCGCAAGGCTCTGTTCTCGGGCCGCTTCTTTTCCTAGTGTACGTCGCAGACCTTGCCGACGTGCTAGTGTTGCCCTGCATGCTGAGGTGCTACGCGGACGACGTCAACATCTCTGCAGAAGTCCGAAGCGATAGCGATCGAGCGGCGCTCCAAGCGTCTGTTGAGAACCTCGTCGAATGGTCTGTTCGAAATGATCTACCTCTCTCCATCCCGAAGTGTAACGTACTGCACCTCGGCCTTAAAAACATCAAGCACACTTACACCATGGAAGGTAAGTCGATCGCAGAAGAGGTAAGCGTACGTGACCTTGGTATCACTATCACGAGTGACTTACGCTCCAAAACGCATGTCTCTAAAGTGGTCTCTAAGGCCAATTCAAAACTCTTCCTTTTCATGCGCCTTATCAAATCGAATGATCCTGTTCTTCTCTGCCGAATTTTTAAGGTATATGTTCGCCCCATCGTCGAGACCTGCAGTTCGACGTTCGTCGTGACTACCAAGAAGGAAGTCGAGCAGCTCGAGTCAGTTCAGCGGAGGTTCACGAAGGCGGCATTCACGCGGGCATTTCCTGAAGAAGACCTTCCGAATTACCGGGAACGGTGCCGCAGACTGGAGCTGGAGACGCTTGAAGAACGCCGCATTCGCAGTGACCTGATCTTGGCGAAGAAGATCCTGCTCGGCAAATGTGCGACAAAGAGCGCTTTTCGCTTAAAGCAGTCACGCACTCGCGGTGGAGCGACGAAGTTCGACATTCCTTACAGCCGCACCAAAATGCGGGAATCGACTTTCTTCGTTCGCGTAGCTTCGACGCTCTCGAAACTTAACGCCGATTTCGTGCTCAGTTCGTCTCTCGGTGTGTTCAAGAACTTCGTCAAAGACCTAGACCTCTCTGAAGTTTGTGATCTCGTTTTCTAGTCAACATATCTTATCACTTTGCCGATGTCCAATTCTTGCCTCACTGCCTTGTGCAGTAAATAAATGAATGAATGAATGAATGAAAAACGTTTGTGCGTACCAAGCGACGTCGTACGCTGAAGCATGAGTTAGCCCCCCCCCCCTGCACAGCAGATGATACCCCACAAATAAACGTTACCGCATGCTCAACACTTAGCCGTACACTGTTAGGCTATGTACCAGGCGGAACGTAGTAAATATTTATACAATGCAAGGTGGAACGCTGGGATGTCACCCACTCGGTGTAGATAGGAGAACCAAACGGGATGGAAGACGTACGCATGTCTAGCATCCTGGACTACTCTCATACGCTTGTGTCCTAACCCAGAAAGGGCTAGGGCACAATACACCCAGGCCCACGTAGAAAGTCTACAAAATAGTCTGCTGGGCTTCCGTGAAGCCAACCAGGTTAGGAGTCATGTCCGCTCACAATCTTGCGAAGCCCCGCTAGCGTCGCCGAGTGCGCGTTAGCGCACGCGAGATGCTAGTAAGATGTTAGCATGACGGGTCATACCTTTTTTGTGCTCGTCCGAATAAGCTGAAACTTTGCGTTTTTGCTTATGTTTTCATGGCCTATCGAATGATAACAGACGTAAACCGACCGCGAAATTTTTTTTGGGGACGTACAGGCAACCGGGGCGATTGAGTGCATAAGGATTCCACTGCTGGTGCGTAGGCTCAGACACGCCGAAAGCATGAAAATCTCAGCAAAGTACTCGGTGTTTGAAAGCTGATTTGGCGAAGCAGTGCCAGCCGATTTTTCGTGAAACAGAGTCAGAGCTCTCGAGGCGCCGCATGCGCTTTATCCCACTCCAAGAAGTCACGAATCCCTGCAGTAGGCCACTTTCCACGTAGTATTTCTCTGGACTTGAAGGTACAGTTCGAGAAAGCATTATGATTGACGTCGCAGATTCGCACCCGTTATATAACTTTTATTTAAACAAATAAGGCAAAGAAAGCCTCGAGTATGCGATATTCCTTGCAGAGGAGAATCGTACAAGAAGCCACGGAAAGCGTCCACGCAAGACGGTAAACGAGGACCGCAGTTAGACAATGGCACATACCGTCGAAGCGTAAGCTAGTATGCAAAGCAAGTCGACCAAGTAAAGGAATTCTAGAGGTGGTTGGGACTTGCGATTCCGGATCTCTGCCATACTTGGCGGTAAAGGTCAGAAGCTTGTCACAAGCGACCTTTGAACCCACCGATACAGTTCGTTCAACGTGGCTGAGTGGTCTAGTGGTATGATTCTCGCTTAGGGTGCGAGAGGTCCCGGGATCAATCCCCGGCTCAGCCCGATTTTTTTGGTGCCCGTTTTTGTTAGCCTAGACAAAGTGATCGAATTATTATAACACTCAAAGACTCAAAGCCCATGCGTGTCAAAATTTAGTACTATTGAATCCCATGCATGGTTATCAGCGCCACTGTATACGTGTACTGTACCCGCAGCAACAAAGTTCAGCCATGTACTCGCAATTAATTCCGTTCAACTGCGAAATTTAACCGTAACAAGTGGGTCTACACCTCGTGGAAGCAGTGGTCGCACGACGACACATAGCACGAGTCGCGCGGGCTTAGTGCTTCGAGACGTATGGCACAATCCATTCCGTCAGGGAGAAATGTTATGGCGTTAGTGTCGGACGCTTTCAGTCGAGCGCTAGCGAGTTTTGGCTGATTCATGCTGTTTTCGGAAGCACACAAAATTATGCTCGTTCGCCCATGAGACCGCGTCGCGGACGGGGGTCTCGCGTCTTTCGACCGCAGCTTCCCAATCAGATCCAAAAATCAGTGTCGCAGCACGGACACGCCGGCCGAAATATGTGCGCAAGAAGACGTGGCAGTAGTAAACTTTTTGTCAGTTGGCGATTTTTTTTACAGCGACGAACTAGCTACCGTATAAGTTTAAAAGCGGAGGCATGTTTTTTACTCCTTCTTATAAACTCTCATCGAGGCCTAAGAGCTTGCCACGGAAAATAAACACATGCCTAAGGCAAAAAAGCGCATTTGGAACAGGATGCTCTAAGCAATACTCACTCGAAGCTCAGGAAGGGAATCGAAATGTCGTCGAAAATCGTTTCTGGTTGTCAGCCATTTCTTCAAATATGTTGTAACTTCCTGTACGCGCCGAACAAATGAGAATGCAAGCTCAATGTCACAACAGTCAGAACCTTTCAGTAGCCGTTATATCCACTTAGCCAAGTCAACTAGACTGTCGTACCAGGTCAAACCTCTCCTGAATAACTCATGTCGGAATGAGCTCTACTGTCGCATTTTCCCAGTTAGTGACACTCTTCTCTACTTGCCTAGAAAGTATTGAGTTCTTCTCTCAATGCTTAATTTATTGCGATGCGTAGCTACGTACCCGACGCACCGTTCGCTTGGTCTAAAATCGCAGACCTTTTGAAACTTAGCCTGTCCAACATAGGAAGTACCCATACGTCTTAGTTCAGCAAATGGAGGCCGGAAACTTGCTTGACCTGCAGTACTACGTCGCGCACATTGTGTATCTTATCAGCCGCAAATTAATCGTTCGTAAGTCAAGTCATCAGGCATTGATGCTGTTCCAAGTTCAGTGAATGTCGGTTTCTAGGTACTTATTAGAGTTGGAATTTTTCGTTCAGGGCAGGCAAAATGAATAAGTCATTCAAGTGCGAGAAATGTCCACGTCGCTTTAACCGACAAGATGACCTACATCGACACGTGAAGAACGTCCACGACGACCGCAAGCCTGTCCATCGTGCGCGTAGCTTGCCATTCCACCTGGAGCGGTCCGACGACATCACGAAGTCGTTCAAGTGTCCTGTATGCCCGCAGCGATTCTCGACGTCAACTGGTCTTCGAGGACATACGATCCTCCACAAACGTGCGAAAGGCTTTGTGTGCACCCTTTGTCATGTTAAGTGCACGACCGAAGTTGGACTAAGCACTCACATGAGACATCGACATCCGGACCGACCGAAAACCACCGAAAAGAGGTAAGCGTCCTTGTCGTCTTTTCTGATGGTTGAATGTCCCATTGAGATTGTACGAGTTAGCTTTGATCGGTAATAGCTTCAAAAACAAAATCCTCATCGTCCTCTCAGAAACGGTCTCGAGGTCGAAGAAAACATGCTCGGGTCTAAGCACGCTTAAATATCGCATTAAGCTTAGCTTGCTCTGTTGCATATAACGAATTTATCAAGAAAAAGATGGCCTCGCAATATCCGCCGATAAAAATTATTGTCCCGTGGTGATCCTTAGGAGAACTGGGCAGAATCTTTAGCAAGCCATCGGCAAACAGTTCCACTGCTGTCCAGACTCCTGCCGAGCGCGTCAAGAACGAACCAGCTAGCGCCGATGACCTCAATGACGAGGACGTCAACCAGTTTCTCGGTATCATTGAAGGCATGGAGGGCAACAACGGTGTGCCTCAGCAGGAACCGGAATACGCCGAAGACAATGAGGAGCCGCAGGAGCCTACCCTCGAGCAGACGGTCAAGGCAGAATCGCCAGACGTTGAAGGTATAAATGCCTTTCATAACGGTTAGTTTTTTTTGCGAAACGGAAAAACTGAAAAAATTTCATGCCTAAAACTTGACCAGCATGTGTAAATGATAGGTACCAACAATTTTCGGACGGGTCTCAGTATGGGTAATTGGCCCGCCACTGGGCACTATGGTCTGTGCCTTCATTTTCAATTCTATACCTTAATCCTGCACCATTTTACCCGAATAAAATGAAAGAAAACGGCATTACGGCTACAGTGGAAGGAGTAACCAGAGCTGGGGGAAAATTTTTTTGAGCGCCGGGGCCGGAACTCACCCCGCCGTGGGAGTAATTCCGGTCCGGCTAGATCCGAAAACGGATGCCCGCATCCGTTTTCCGAAAGCAACCAGAATATCGGACTTTGAAAAATTGGATGCCAGGCTGTGCGAACGCATGCATGCGCTCGTGCGTACCAAGCGACGTCGTACGCGGAAGCATGCGTTAGCTCCTGCACAGCAGCTGATCGCAGTTTCGCACCCGTCACTTCACACCGACGCTATCTTTTATTTACGCAAATAAGGCAAAGAAAGCCTCAACCATGCGATATTCCTTGGTGAGGAGGATCGTACAAGAAGCCATGGAAAGCGTCCACGCAGGACGGTAAATGAGGACCGGAGTTAGACAATGGCAATACCGTCGGAGCGTAAGCTAGCAGCAGCAGTTAAGCAAAGCAATGCAACCAAGGAAAGGAACTCGTGAATCGCAATCAAATGCCGAAAGCCATTCGTGACCCTCAGGCTGGGCAGAGATTCAACGACTCGGTCGCAGGTGTCAACTACAGAAATGCTCACCCACGGTAAAACCGTACTCCCGAAAAAGAGCGACGGTTGGTGTACACCGCCGCAGTGGATGAGGGTCATGAAGCAAAACCAAGCCCATACGATGGCTGACAAAAAGACATAAAGACCAAGGTTCTTCTTCTCGAGTTCAGTGTCACGCAAGGGCGTAGCTAGGACCCCTCCAGAGGGGGGGGGGGCGAGGGTAAGGGGGGACCCTTACCTATTTTTTCGGCGCCGGCCTT